CACCTCGTTCCACAAGGAGTAACGGTAGTTCGAATTAGCCTAATTCAAACTACCTACTCCGTGCCATGTGTAGCCGCGGGCAGGGAGTCCGAACTACCGGGGATTTAAAAATGGCGGCACCTGGCAAGATGCAAATGAAGCCTGGGATATTTAAATCCTGGGCTTCATTTGCAACTTCGATTGACTACATTAACCACCCTAATTCGAACTAGGGTGGCAGTGTAGACATACCCTCTGAGATGTATTAAGAAGATGCAGGAAGTAATTCTGCTCTACTTCTTCATGCTGATTAGGCCTCAACTGGAGTATTGTGTCCAGTTCTAGGAGCCACATTTCAGGAAAGATGTGGAGAAATTGGAGAGGGTCCAGAGAAGAAACAAAAATGATTTTTTGGGGGGTTTAGAAAATATGATCTATGAGGGGAAGTCTGGAAGAATTGGGTTTACTAGTCTGGAGAAGAAAAAAATAAGGGTTAGCATGATTTTTCATGTATCTAAAAGTTCATTTAGAGGAGGGAGACAAACTGTTCCCCTTGGCCTCTGAGGACAGGACAAGCAGCAAGGGGCTTCAACTGCAGCCAGGGAAGTGGAGGTTGCACATTAGGGAAAACTTCGTGCCTGTCACGATGGTGAAACACTGGAGAGAACTGCTGAGGGAGATTGTGGAGTCTCCATCATGGAGATTTTAAAGAGCAGGTCAGATAAATCCCCACCAAGCATGGTCTAGATCACGGTGGGGCAAAATGCAGCCCATGGTCTGGATCCGGCCTGCCAAGCCCCCAGATCCGGCCCATGGACATAGCAGGGAGCCTCAGGCAGACTCCCTGCTTGCCCTGCACACCACTCGGAAAAGCAGCAGCTGGCCATTTCTCTTTCACAGCTGTGAGCCCAGGAGAGGGGGGAGTGGTGCGTCATGCAGTGCCCCCCTGCCCGAGTGCAATCCCATTGGCCGGTTTCTGGCCAATGGGAGCTGCCTGTTTGAAGAACAGGCAGCGTGAGAAACACCACTCCCCCACCCCTCAGGCTCTTATTCACAGATGCACATGGCCCCTGCAGCCTGTGCGGGGGCGGGGCAGGTCGGGAACTTGCCTGAGAAATGTGCTGGGCTTCTGGCTGGGAGTCACTCAGGTAAGTCTCCTGGCCAGAGCCTGCCTCTGGCACCCTGTTCTCTCCCTTCCCCCACCCAGTATCCCACATAACCCAAACCCTCTGCTCCCCTCCTAGATCCCACACCCTATTCCCCTGCCCAGGTCACAACCCAAACCCCTGCACCCCGGTCCAGTGCCCGATGGTCACAACGGCTTCCTTCACCCAGACCCCACAGTGCTTCCTGCACCCCAGTCCCTTCCCCACTCAGTCTCCACCCCCCAACGCAGAGAATGCGTAGCCCTGGCTGAGGTGCCAGGGAGTGGACTGGATGCCCCTCTGGGTTCTGGGGGAAGGAGCTAGCGGAGCCTCGCTGTGGATACTGAGCCCGTCTCCTTTGAGAAGAGGATTTCACGTCGCCGCGGAGCTTCGCAGGGACCTTTCCCGAGCCGCAGGTGGCGGGGGCG